AAAGAACAAAGCTGGTGAAGTGAGGTAAGACAATCATTTCAGGAAATCAGCAATATCTTTTTACAAGCCTTCAAACTGCATTGACTGATAACATGTCTATAAATACCTCCTGAAGATGCAGTCACAGATACACAGGAAGATAACTATACAAGGACACACATACAGTAACTTACAACAACATAAAACCAGAAACTGAACATCCAGCACTGGAGGAAAGTATGTGAATAAAGAAATTACAGCAAATTCATATGGGTTTTTTTCATATGTTTAAATAATGATTTTTGGAGAATACTTAATGACACTGGAGATCACAAAATATAATGTTAGGTAAAAATGTGGGATATAAAATTATATGTAAATATGATATAAATGTTGCTAGGCAAAAAGAGAATGGAAAAGAATATAGTTAAAAATCTTAAGAAAGGATGGGCAGAGAACTTAAAATTTTTTCATTACTTCTTTATAATATTGAGATATCTGACATTTCCAAAAGAAATGATATTTTTGTAATTAGAAAAACCTTAACTTAATGAACATTCTATAAATATCTCTCAGTCATATGAAAGCTTTACAAACACCTAACAAGAAAATGCTTATATTTTAATATTAAGTGCAAGAAAAGAAGTGTAAAACAATATGATCTTAAATAGATAAAAATTCACATTAAAAAGACCAGAAAAATATACATCAAGATATTAATAGTGGCTGCTTTTTAACAGTGCTACTTATTTGTGTGTAATATTTTTTCTATGTAAGTTTTCTATGATTGTCACATATCCCTTTCATGAGGAAAAATGGACATCAATATCACAATTATAGGACTGATACATCAAGAGTATGCTACTATTAATGCTGACTGTCAACAGCCATAAAAAGCTGCTCTATCATTAAGCTGTCCTTTTTCAAATTTCGGAAACCACTGGTATGTCTTCAGAGAATATCAGGAGGGTGTCCGGGAGGTGGGAACAAATACTACTTCCCAGCTGTCGAATTGTTTTCTCCACAAAGCAGCAGCTCCGCGAGGGCCACACTGAAGCATGAGACTCTTGACAGTAGGATGTTGGCATTATTAGCAAAATGGCAAAGAAGACTGACAGACGATGGGTGGAAAATGGCCCAAAGAGGAAGGCAAGAGTTCATGTAAACAATAGAAGCATTAAGAAAGATTCAAGGAATCATTAGACCCAAAACAATGAAAAGAAGGGTCCCAAAGCATTATGTGTATACCTGTGTTCACAGCAGCATTATTCACAACAGCCAAAAGGGTTGATGCAACCCAAATATCCAATGGATGGATAAACAAAAATGTGGTCTAGTCACATAACAGAATGTTACTCAGCCTTAAAAATAAAGGAACTTCTGATACATGGTACAACATGGTTGAATCTTGAGGATATCATGCTAAGCGAAATAAGCCAGTCACAAAAAGATACTGTATGAATCCACTTATAGGAGGTTCCCGGAATAGTCAAATTCACAGAGATAGAAAGAACTGTGCTTGCCAGCGACTGAGGAGAAAGGGAGAATGGTGAGTTACTGTTTAATGGGAATGCAGTTTCAGTTTAGCAAGATGAGAGTTCTGGAGATGAGTGATGGTGACGGCTGTTCAGTAATGTGACTGTACTTAATGCCATTGAACTGTAGACTTAAAAATGGTTGGGACTTCCCTGGTGGTCCAGTGGTTAAGATTCTGGGCTTCCAATGTAGGGGATGCGGGTTTGATCCCTGGTTGGGGAATTAAGATCCCACATGCCATGTGGTGTAGCCAAAAAAAGAAAATAATTAAGATCATAAATTTTACATCATATGTATTTTACCACAACTTAATAATGTGTGTATATATATACCATTAAAGGAAAAAAGAGAGAACAGAATAAAGAATGCATTAGAGTTAGTATTCATAATTCTGAAGCATGTTTTTGATTTAAACTCAGTTTAAAGGATGTCAAGGGTGTAAGCATCAAAATAAAATACTTTCTTTTTTTTTTTAGATCTTATTTCTGATATTAGATTTTTAAAATCAAGTTATAGAAGTCAGCTCAGTAACACAGAAGATCAAAAGTAAAAACAAGAAGGGACATTATGTCTAACTTGAAAAGAACATACCACACCTCTCTGTGGTTCTTTGAGACCCTTTCATTATAGCCAGCTTGAAAAATTCCCCACGACTAGGAAAGAACCTGCAAACCCAAGAAACAAGATGACATTTTCCCATCAGCTAACAGGAAAAAAATATAACTAGGAGGGAAACCCTGAGTCTCCTAAAACGTACTCTATCCTTACTGTGCCCCGCTATCAGAGAATCAAAGAATTCTGGAGCTGGACAAAGGCCCTCAGGTGGAGCTGCTCCAGGGAAACAGACAGCCGCAGAGCTTGTCAGCTTGTCCAGGCTCACTCAGTGATGCTGGATTTAAAGACAAACCCCTGGAGCATAGTTATGTTGTTTGTCATGTTCTGTTTTTCAGTTGGCATGTTTCATATTTTATAGGCAGCTTATTACTAAAGGTAAGAAATAGAGCATATCTGGAACATTCTTTTTACAAGTCATTTGATTAATTCCATTCAAAAAATATTTACTGAATACACAGTACATGGGATTCCCTGGTGGCTCCTTGGTGAAGGATCTGCTTCCAGTGCAGGAGGCGTGGTGATGAGGGTTTGATCCCTGGGTCGGGAAGACCCCCTGGAGGAGGGCATGGCAACCCACTCCAGTAATCTTGCCTGGAGAATTCCACGGACAGAGGAGCTTGGCAGACTACAGTCCATGGGGTTGCTCAATTGCGTCTGACTCTTTGCGACCCCACAGACTAAACAGTCCATGGAATTCTCCAGGTCAGAATACTGGAGTGGGTAGTGACTTAGCACGTAGCCACACATGCACAGTACATACCATACACTATATACCAGGCATGGGCTAAGCACTGAATGGGGAACTGGATGCCATCATCTTTCCTTCACCAAACCGGCAGTTACAATTTAAAAGAAGGACGGGAAGCTATTGGCACACATCAGTGGGGGCTCCAATCCGGTCTAGAGAGCTCGAGAATGGAAACCTACATGAAGTGACATTTTTATAATGGTAGTAGTCATTAGTGGGCTTCCCTTGTGGCTTAGCTGGTAAAGAATCTGCCTGCAATGTGGGAGACCTGGGCTTAATCCCTGGATTGGGAAGATCCCCTGGAAAAGGGAAAGGCTACCCACTCCAGTATTCTGGCCTGGAGAATTCCATGGACTGTTTAGTCCATGGGGTCGCAAAGAGTTGGACACAACTGAGCGACTTTCACTCCAGCAGTCATTAGTATTATTGCCACAAGATTGACTGGCTACTACTATGAATCAGATTGAGTTTTAAACACATTCTCCAGGCACAAATTAATTTAATCTTTACGATAATCTTACAAGAGGATGAGATGGTTGGATGGCATCATCTACTCGATGGACATGGGTTTGGGTGAACTCTGGGAGTTGGTGATGGACAGGGAGGCCTGGCGTGCTGTGGTTCATGGGGTCGCAGAGTCGGACACGACTGAGCGACTGAACTGATAATCTTACAAAGTCAGATCTGAAAGATGAGAAAACTAAGGTACTGAGAGGTCACCCAGCTCTTCTACAGTAGAATCAGACCAGACTGTACCTCTGTTCAGAATGTGCTCTGAGGTGAACCCGAACGAATATAAGACAGGGATGAAACTTAAGGATCAGAACACCTGGCAGAGAGCAGAGCTCTCTGAATAAGCAGAAGTGGGGTGGGGGGCATGGGTAAATAGAGTGATGCTCCCCATTACAGGTGGGAGCAGCTGCCACTGGGAGGCATGAGCAGGTAAGTGGGGGAGGTGGGAGGGGTGGGAGGAATATGTAGCGATGATCAGGAACCTTGGAGGCAGAGGTGAGGAATGCCTGGGCAGGCAGGATTCTCATTGAGTTCTGCTGCGCTGAGGGGGAAATGAGCCTCTTTTGCACCCCCCCCGCACCCCCTCTCCACGCCACGGGTTTCAGTGGTTGATGACTTGCTTACACACAGAGTGAGAACACATGCTCTACAGGACCTAATCAAGTTGGGTACAGGGTATCACAGCAACAGGTGAGAATTGAGAGCCAAGTGACACGATGAGCTTGTTTTTCAGAAGCATCACTCTGAATGCAGTCGGGAGAACGGATTGCAGAAGAATATCGGTAGCAAGCAGAGGGATGCCAGAGACAACAGTTTAGGGCAAAGACGATGGTAAGCAAGAAGGACACACTGGAGAAAGAGTAGATGGGTTTGACAAGGTCGAGATGCAGATTTTTGACCAGATTTGGTTTCTTTGTGGATCTGGAAGATGAGGTGAGAGAAGGGTCAGTAAGGCACAGGTTTCAGGTTTAGATGACTGGGATCAGTCTGGAATCCACTGGCTATGAGGTGCTAGCAAGATATTGAGTAGGAAGGTCCAGTTGGCATCTGGACACAAAGCATGGAGCTTAGAGATAAACAGAAACAACCTGTGAAGGGAGGCAAGGAAGAGAAAAAGCCAGAGGGGCAGGTCAGGCCAGCGAGGCAAGGACATCAAAATAGGTCACAGCAGATACAAATCTAAATTTATCTGGCAAATGTGGGAACGGAAGATAGGAAGACAACTATCACTCTGGCCAGTGTGAGACCAGCCTGGTCACAGGTGCAAAAGCCAGACTGTAGGAGCCTGAAGAGGGGGTCTGCACTGCAGGCAGATTCTTTACCAGCTGAGCCACAAGAGAAGACCAAAAATACTGGAGTGTATAGCCTATCCCTTCTCCAGGGGATATTCCCAACCCAGGAATTGAACCAGGGTCTCCCGCATTGCATGTGGATACTTTACCAGCTGAGTCACAAGGAAAGCCCAAGAATACTGGAGTGGGTAGCCTATCCCTTCCTCCAGGGGATAATCCCGACCCAGGAATCGAACCAGGTTCTCCCGCATTGCAGGCGGATTCTCTACCAACTGAGCTACCAGGGAAGCCCTGAGGCGGCGGGCAGGGCTGAAGAAATGGAGGCAGCAAATTCACCCTGCTCTTCCAAGAAGCTGGGCCCTGGCAGGAGACGTGAGTGGAGAAGTAACCCAAAGGGAAGGTGATCCTGAAGGCCGCTGGGTTTTGTGTTTGGTTTTCGGTTGGTGAGCCTTGAGTGGGTTTACGTGTTCATGGGAGAAAATCAGTGGAGGATGGCAGGTGAAGGTCAGAGAGAGAAAAAAGTCTCTGATGAAGTGAGAGGGGATGGGGTCAGAGCCTGGACATGGGTGGGCTCCTCCTCCACTAGGGCAGGAGGCAAGGAAAACAAGACAGGTGTAGATGCAGCGTGCTGACTGGGGCCACAGCCTGAGCTCGCTCACCTTCTGGTGTCTATTTTCTCCGTGCGTAGGAGGGTGGCTGCCACAGAGGCTGAGCAGTGAGAACGAGCCCCAGGAGAGAGCGCTGCCGGGAGACCAGAGAGGCCTGGACGGCAGGGAGCAGCCTCGGTCAGCGGAAGGTGACCTCCCAGACGCCAGCTCATGACGGCCACATGCCACTGCACTGCGCCTCTGTGGCAGTTACCAAACAACACCGGGAACATAAACAAAAACCCTGATGACGCAGAGCAGACCTCATGGGAAGTCCACTTCAGGACAGTCAGGTTGGGTAAGTCAGCTGGAATCCCACCAGCCTCCTTAGGCCTCGACCACACAGGGTGTCATGAAGACAGATGCTTGCACAGGGTATGATGGCCTTGCCAGTTACAACGTGTGGAAAGCTCACACTTCAGTCTACAGTCAAACTCGGTTTGTATGTGTAACCAAAACAGCGTTATTTCAACCCTATTAATAGTGCGCTGACAACCTGTGTGTTTGGCCTGAGTTGGCTTGTGCTTTCAGGCCTAGTCCATGCTGCTAAACGGGCACCTGGATTGCAGTGAGGGTCCAGCATGTCCCTCCTTCCTGAGTCATGCTGGGAAGCACGGGCGAGAAGGCATCCTGTCACAGTTGCTTCTCATAGACACAGCTCTAGTTCCTGCTCTGGCCAGGAAATTGCTTGAGAAAGCAAAAACAGGGACCAGGAGCTGAGCACAACTGTACAAGTCCAAACACAGGCTAGGGGAGGTATTTCAAGTGAACGACTGTGTGTTTTGCTTAAGCTCAGAGCAAAGTGGCAGGAGAGGAAGATGCAAGCTCAAAAGAGCACCTTTCCTTGTAAAGTACTTTTGCAGTGACAAAAGTCATTCTAGCAATTAGTATCAAGCATCTCTTGTATTTCCAAGGCATATACCTCCCAAAGAGCTCAAAAGAAAAAACAAAAAACAAACACCTTTAATTCAGCATCCTTTTCAGAGAGAAGGGAAATTAACAGTAAAATCTGATCAGTTCAATCAACTGGGGAGTTTGCTATCAATAGTGAGATGTCTGAAACCTAGGACAGTGATACACTTTTGCTTTTTTAATTTGTTCTTTTAAAAAAGATTTCCTTTCCTCGTGACTGTATCATGAAAGTAATGTAATATTAAATACCACCAGCCAACAGTTCCATGGCGCTCACTCTGACTCAGGCACAGCTCCAAGTCTCCTGACTTCTTTGAACGTGAGGCAGGCATTCTCACCCTGCCAGTTTTAGGTAGAGGCACAGAGGGGCTGACTCCTTCACCGTGGTGACCAGCAGAGCTGGTGTCTCAACCCAGGCTGTCCAGCATCAGAGTCTTGCGCTCAACCACTGACCTGGGCTGCCATACCATGATAACATGAATTCTAAAACTCTACAAATTCAGGGTGTTAAAAAGAGATAATCAGCATTTATTCTATCCCTCTAATAGAGTAATGTTGCTGTGCTGTTTCCTACTCTATTCATCCCTCAGTTTTCAAGTCAAAGACTCTCTTATATTTATATTCAAATAAAAACTCTAAGCGAAACTGTTTACGAAAACCTTTCCAAGTAGAGATTCAATGCACAGAGAGGACTTTAAAAGTCAGCAGATCTAGTTTTGCATACAATATGTACAAGCCAGCAAAACAATCTTTTTAAACAAGTTTCTTTACATTACAAAGAATTTTCTTCTTAAGAGTAGTTATTTTTTTGTCTGACCCCACACTTAATTATACTGAATCCCAAATCAGTCATTTTGAATCAATGCATCTCTCCCAGTTTTCAAATAAGAAAACTGAAGTTCAAATATTTCATTCTCTTTGAAGTTGCCCGCAGGCTTAGGTTGGATTGCACAGATTTGATGGTGTGCTTCTGTAGAGATGAGAACCTGATCTTCAGTGTGGGAGTGCTGCAACTTCTAGAAACCTCAGCAAGCTTCATTTTATAAAACAAGCAAAAAATGGCCCCCAAAATGGCTCCCACAGAGTTTCTATCAGTGACCTTTGATGCAAATGTTCCGTGATATGTAAGTTCAAGACTGCCAGTCACTTGAGGCTTATTAAGCTTGACCGGTGTGAACTGTCATTGCCTAGACTTAAGTGCATGTCACATGGTGTCGGCACAAACATTCTTCAGGGCTCCTTTGAAACAGACCCACACTTACATGGATAACCAATTTTCAGTAAAGGTGCCAAGGCAATTCAATAAGCAAAAGGAAGTCCTGACAACAAACCACGCTGGAACGAGTGGGAAACATGTGCAAAAGAACAAGCCTAACCGATACTTTAAACAAAAATTAATCTGAGATGGATCACAGCCCAAAGGATAAAAGCTAAAACTATAAGGCTTCTAAAAAGAAAACACAGAAGGATATCTTTATTGTCTTGGAGAGGCAGATTACCCAGGAAACAAAAAGTACTGATAATATATGGGGAAATTTGATTAATAAAGTTATTTCAAAATTAAAACCTTCTGCTCATCAAAAGATATTTTAAGAAAATGAAAGGTAAAATACAGATTGGGAGAATATATATTCATTACAAGTTTCTGACAAAAGGATTTTATTAGGAGTATAACATAGGAAAAAAACTCCTACCTGTCAATAATATAAAAAAATTCAACTTTGAAATGGCCAAAGGAAAAACAAAAACAGCTAAGAGATAGAAGAGATACTTCAAACAGGAAGGTATACAAATGGCCAATAAGATGAGAGATCTTGATGAGAGATCACATCTATACACAACTACTAGAAAAACCACAGCTTTGACAAGACAGACCTTTGTTAGCAAAGTAATGTCTCTGCTTTTTATTTTTTTTATGTCTCTGCTTTTTAATATGCTGCCTAGGCTGGTCATAGCTTTTCTTCCAAGGAGGAAACGTCTTTTAATTTCATGGCTGCAGTCACCATCTGCAATGATTATGGAGTCCAAAAAAATAAAAGTCTGTCACTGCTTCCGTTGTTTCCCCATCTATTTGCCATGAAATGGTGAGACTGGATGCATGATCTTAGTATGGATGTGAGAGCTGGACTACAAAGAAAGCTGAGTGCCAAAAAATTCATGCTTTTGAACTGTGGTGTTGGAGAAGACTCGAGAGTCCCTTGGACTGCAAGGAGATCAAACCAGTCCATCCTAAAGGAAATAAGTCCTGAATGTTCATTGGAAGGACTGCTGCTGAAGCTTAAACTTCAATACTTTGGCCACCGGATGCAAAGAACTGACTCATTGGAAAAGACCCTGATGCTGGGAAAGACTGAAGGTTGGAGGAGAAGGGGATGACAGAGGATGAGGTGGTTGGATGGCATCACCAACTCAATGGAAATGAGTCTGAGCAAGTTCTGGGAGTTGGTGATGGATAGGGAAGCCTGGTGTGCTGCAGTCCATGGAGTAACAAAGAGCTGGACACGACTGAGTGACTGGACTGAACTAACCACTTGCTCTACAGTAGAACGGCTGCTGCTGCTGCTAAGTCACTTCAGTTGTGTCCGACTCTGTGCGACCCCACAGACAGCAGCCCACCAGGCTCCCCCGTCCCTGGGATTCTCCAGGCAAGAACACTGGACTGGGTTGCCATTTCCTTCTCCAGTGCATGAAAGTAAAAAGTGAAAGTGAAGTTGCTCAGTCGTGTCAGACTCCCAGCGACCCCATGGACTGCAGCCTACCAGGTTCCTCTGTTCATGGGATTTTCCAGGCAAGAGTACTGGAGTGGCTTGCTGTTGCCCTCTCCATTAGAAAAACCAATAGTGGTAGACTGTTGGGGCTTCCCAGGAGGCTCAGTGGTAAAGAACGTGCCTGCCAATGCAGGAGACCCAGGTTTGATCCCTGGGCCGGGAAGATCTCCTGGAGAAGGAAATGGCAACCCACTCCAGTGTTCTTTCCTGGAGAATTCCCTGAGAGAGGAGCCAGGCAGGCTAGAGTCCACGGGGTTGCAAAGAGTCAGACAGGACTGAGCACACATGCACACAGACAACTGTTAAGAAGGAACTGGAGGGCCTGGAACTCTCATCCACTGCTGGCTAGGGTATAAAATGGTATAATTATTTGAAAATTATCTGGAAGTTTCTTATAAATGTAAACATGTATCTGCTGTCTGGTTCAGCAACTAAACTGATATACAAACAGGAATAGGACTGAGAAAAAGAGAGCTGTTTCATAGTAGCTTAATATCCATAACAGCCAAAAAGGGAAAAACAATCCAAATGTCCATCACCAGGAGAACTGGACCAAAGATTTGGGTCTATTCATACAAGAGAATACTCCCCAGCATGGGAGGAGGAAGAATGAATGACGATACACACAACAATATGAAACTGCTGTGTGAGGGAAGTCAGGCACGAACAAGTACATGCTCTGTGATTCCATTTAGATGAAGTTCAAGAACAGGAAAACAAGCAGTGGTATATAAATCACAAAGTGTTTGCCAATGGTGTTGGAGATTGATTGGACTGGGCAGAAGAAACCCTAGGTGAAGACATGTTCTACATGTTAACCAGCGTTGAGCTACGTTGAGTGTACTTAACATCATAGCATTGCACCATGGCTGTCCCATTTCTGTGGAACCATCCACACAGTCCTCCAGAGAAAAAGATAAAACTTGCTTGTTCTTCTCTCATCCAATAGTAGCAGTCAACTGATACGCCGGGTCCCAGAACCAGTGTGATGGTGCCCTAAATTCTCCGAGTGTCCTTTTTCAGGTCCATCGTTTCTCAGTAGACAACTGACAAGCAACACTCAACATACTCCTCCCCTCCAGCAGGTTACAGGGAAGAGATGGGAGCAAATGAATTTGGACAGAAGGGCACCTGGAATAAGCTGATGATCTATCTGTTCTGGCCAATAACAGAAATAAACTACAAACATGTTCTTGGGGCTGGCATCCTTGGAGCTCAGGACACTTCGGCATTCTCCACATCTATTTCCGGGGCATGGCCTCAGAGGGCCTGTTCTTTGATCTAGAACTATCCAGATATCCAGAAGGCTCTAAATCGGTAAACGACTTACAGAATACAGAGGTCAGATACCAGGGGATCTTTACTATCCTCAATTACCTCTAAGCCATTACCAAAAAAAAAAAAACAACCAAACAAAATGAATGTGCAACAGACTATTGGGTAGGGCTTCCCTGGCGGCTCATTCATAA